GTCACAGGGCACTTTCCATACATGGAAGAAACCCTTGAAGGTATGCACAGGGTCATCACCACCACAATGTGTCCCATTCCCTACCATCTGTCAAAACCCTGTTATTTCATCATTGCCTGACTACTCATGGTCCCTATCTGGTACCGATTCACAATCTGTCAGCTTGTGGAAAGAGCATGGCTGGGCCCAATTCAAGAACATGTACTGCCTGCCACCAAAGAAATCCTGCCCAAGGTCGTGGAGACCATGTGCACCATCGGCTATACATGTGAGGAGATTGTTTCATCCCTAACTCACAGGCAAGAAGATAATCATGTAACAGCTACTTGCAACATTATCAAATATCAGCTGAGTGGTGGAGGCAGCCATCAGCAAGAGCAGATGCCCTGGTTAACCAACAGCCCTGCAGTTCCTGTTCGCCTCCCTCTCCCCTTGAAGAGAGCCAGTGAACCAGCATTTACAACCAGTACACATGCTGGGAAGGGTCACTTTAAGGAGGAGGGTGAGAAGGAAAGAGGTAAAGGATGTAGAAGCTACACCATGCCTCACAGATCCTCCTTCCTGGAGGTGCTGTCCTCTTCAGACAACACAGTCCCAGAAAGAGATGCTCTTATGGCTGATGTCATCAACACTGCTACAGAGGACACTGAAGTCAAGAAGAATTCTGTTGACTCCCTGCCTGGCAATCTCTCCTCCCCTGAATCATTCTTGGATGAAACATCCACAGGATTTCTGAACCTGGGCTTCTGTGAAGAAGATTCATCCCAGGAACCAGACATTCCCAGTGACCAGCCCCAGGTGGCACCCACAACATCTGGATTCAGGTCATTCAGGGTCTGGAAGCTGGTGAGGAAGCAAATTTCCCATGCACTGAGAGCACTGTGCAGCTGCTGCTGCTGCTGCCTGCCCACCCCAAGGTGAGCCCTGAACCCTTGCATCAGGGGCCAAAAGGAAAGAGAGGACAGTGGAGACCTATATGGAGAACAGTTGGTTGGGCCACACAGATGAATTCCTATGTTGTCTTTTCAATATGCCATTTTAATATCCTTATACCCACTCAGAAGGCCCAGAATTTGATATGTAGTACATTAGATGGCAAATTCACAGCTTCCTGTTCATGTAAAGTCCTGGAAGGTTGAGGCAAAAACAGATAGCCGAAAATGGGGACGACAGGGTGGGAAGGAAGGGAGGAGAGTTTTTCTAACGGGGTTAAAGGTTCAGAATGGAGGAATCAGGAAGGGAAATATAGCACAGAAATTTATCTGTCAAAGTCACTAATAGAGGTGCTTTCACCTTTCTTTCTGCTTTGAAGTGTGGAAACTGAAGTGGCCCAATAGAATTCCAGACCTGGTGAGGAGTGACTGCCACAGAAGTGAGCCAGAACTCATCTCCAGTGTGCCAGGTCCCTCCAACCAAGGGCAACAGGCTCCTGCCTGCATTCATCCTCCAGCTATTGGGTCTGAGCTGCCACTTTGCATCTCTTTTAGCTTAATCCAGCTTCAGAACTGTTGTGGGACAATTGGGGTTCATAAAGCACATGGACCCCATGACCCTCTACCTTCCTAGCTTTGGTTGTACTTGTAGGACCACTCACACTGCATGGAAAACAGCAACCTCTACCACCAGGAATGACTTCATACGAATCTAGGCTGCTCAACATCTTGGTCACTTTAACCCCTCCAACTTACTCTGAGACTGCCTTTTGGACAAAACAGCAAGACCTGTGTAAATCCTCTGGAAAATGGAGGTGGGTGAAAGGAGATAAAGAGGACTAATTGGGGAACAATTTTGAGACAGGAATAGAGGACACGAGAGGTGGTGTAGAATACAGAGTAGAGTCTGTCCTGAGGAATTTCCTGTCAACAAAGTAACATGAAAGAGATGTGTGTGCTGACCTGTGACAGGGGGCATGCACAGTCTACAGCAGGAACAAACCTCCCCTGAAGTGCAGACTGGGAGGGAGCTAGGAATAGCCAGCAATGAGGAGGAGAGGGCCTGCTCTGATGGTTCCTAGCATGTGTCAATGCACACAAGTAGGATGTTGTCTTGGAAATAACATCCTGTTCATTCCTACAGAGCTGGGGTACAGCAGGAGAAAAATGCAGCACTATTGGTCAGTGGAGTCCCATCCTCCTCAGTGCTGAGTAAGTCTTATCTGTTAAAGTCTCACTAAAAGAGACACTTTCCTTATTCTTTTGGGTTTTATTTGGGGAAAGTGAATTGAATTAGAGTCTTGGTGTGGTTTAGTGCAACAGGAAGGATCCAGGTTGGAAATCTGTGTCCTGTGTGATGATATGTTAGGGCTACAGGTTCCAGTATCCATCCTCCAGATTAGGGTCTCACTGCCATCTTCCCCATCCTTCACCTCACTGCTGCCCCTGCACTGTGGCTGAACATCCCTGAGAGTTACATGTAGCATCAACACAATGAATGTCTACATCTGTCCTGGTTCCTGTGGGACCAGAGTTCCATGACATCATAAAGGGCTGCCTCTGTCAACAGGACAGACTAGCACACAGGTCTCAGGCTTCCCTCTTCTTTGATTCATTCATCAACTCCAAACTGCTTTCTGACTGTCTTTCAGAAGAACTGCAGTAACTGTAAATCCAGTGAGAGATGGAAGAATGGAGATAAGGGGGAGGAAGAGGGGAAAGGAAGTGGAGAGGATGGAGAGGAAATGAGAGGACCTGTAGAGAGAGGGTAGAGTCTGTCCAGAGGAGTTTACCTGAAATGAGTCAGGAGAAAAGGAGATTTTCATGGGACAGTGGTCTTGAAAAGTGAGACCAGGAACAATTGTTTCAAGCAGAGCAGAGTGTGACCATGGGTTTATTGTGAGCCATGAGTAGGAAAGACCCTGCTCTGATGGTTCCTGGTATAAGTCAATGTAGTGAAGTATGAGGCTGCTTTGGAAAGGGGCTTCCATTCTGGGCTACTGAAGAAGGGT